GAAAGGCAGGATGAAAAACTAACAAATAAATAAGAAAAGTTGTCCTTGTTTAATTAAATAACTGGTACTGCTGACCCAGGCATAGCCAGGAGAGGGAACCCGTGAGAAAAACATCTGTTTTGTTTTGAACAGTGCTAAACAGGGGGCTCCTGTGAATCTCCAAGGTGCATACTGAAGCCACAATGTCTAAAATTAAGAGACTTTTTTTTTAAAAAAAAACAAAACTAAATATTTTTCCTTTTTTTTTAAAAAAAAACAAAACTAAATATTTTTCCTTTTTTTTTAAAAAAAAACAAAACTAAATATTTTTCCTTTTTTTTTAAAAAAAAGGAAAAATATTTAGTTTTGTTATTATAAAATTATAGGAAGGTTGGTTTTTTTTTGTTCTTCTGCCTTCACTTATTTGTAGCCTGTTGAATTGACTTATCACATATATATAGAATATTTTTAGAGAGAGCTACTTTGGTCTACTGGTTAAGACTCCAGGCTAGAAACCAGGAGACTGTGAGTTCTAGTCCGGCCTTGGGCATGCAAGCCGGCTGGGTGACTTTGGGCCAGTCACTCTTTCTCAGCCTGTGCCAACCAATGGATCAACATTTGGTTGATCCAAAAAATGCAGACCCTGCACCTGCAGGAAAAATGCTAGGAAGAAAAAAAAGAGAAAGTTATAGAATATTTTTATTGCTGTGTTTCATTATTTTGGCTGTCTTGAAGTGTATATTTGTGAAACATTAACATCTAAAGTCACACAATTATAAGGAAAATCATACAGCAAAAATCAAAATAGGATGAGACAAAACTAGACAATTATCAAAAACAAACTGAAACAGGCATGTTTTTACTTGCCTTCTAAGGGCTAAGAGAAAGCAGCTGAATTAACTGCACTAGAAAGCAAGTTCTACAGCATTAGCAAATGACTTCCAGGCCAGTCTTATTTTCTCATAAGATAAAATTTGGAGCATGGCTTTAGATATTTCTGGGCTTGGCCGGGAGGTTTCATATAAGACAAGATATTTCTGGGTGTTAATCAAAACCCAAATCATTTAGAGTTTTAAATATAAGAACAGACAGAAAACTAGTTCAGGTGTATCAAAGAGATAAGGCATATTAAAAAAACTGTAAGCAGCAAATCTGCTAAATTTTGCATTAGCTGAAATTGCTATACTGTAGTGTCTTCAGAAGCAGATACTGTAGATTGCATTGCAACAGTTTAATATGATTAGGTCCAAGGATGCTGAAACAGGCTCAGCAAAAAGGTTAAATTTTTTAAAGTAGATTGGACTTGACAATGATGCTAAATAAAGGCAGAGCTAAGACCACCACAGCAATGGCACCATATTCTTTGTTGTACCAGGAGAGAAGGACCTTTCTCTGTAGGGAGAAACTGAGCAGAGTATTAATGACTGGGTCATACATCATACAAGGGTATGATGTTGATTCTTTGGCTTAGCATTATACATGAACCAGCCAGTGTAGTTTATAATAACTGTTTTGTGGCTCAACATTTTGTGTAAACCCAGTGTTCAGAGTAAGGAAGATGACCTTGACAAAGATAGGCCAGATCTGTTACCAAAGTGACAAGGGGAAAACAAAGCTTGTCAAAACAAGAAGGCATGCACAAGTGACTCAAGCAGACACCTCCCTAATTCATATAAGTGGGAGGGGAGTAAAGCATAATCAGACTTGCAAGGTTCTGTTATTGTAGCCAATATTAATAAAAGTAGCTTTCTTGTGGAGTTGATTTCTTGATTTGTCTACATAGTGGGACTGACATCTAGACAATTGGGGTTTATTCGGTAAAATATATTATGCAAAGCAAGACTAAACAGAGACCACAATTAAACTTAAAAAAAAACATAATTGAGGTGGAGAAAAGAGGCTGACTGCTATACAGTGAGTGAATTCTACCATTCTTTGATATTCATGATGTTCAATTAAGACCCTTTTTCAATAAAGTTTTAAGGTAATATTGGACTGGTTTGAGCCAATTTCCCCTGGCCTCTTCTACTTAAAATATTACTTCCAAGATTCATCACTAGATTAGTTTCCAGTGGTGAAATAATAGAAACAGATGAATTTGATCACAGAGCGTCATTTAATCGTTGCTGGGAAAACATAACTTTTCTTTCTATGCCTCTGCATAACATGTTCTTCTATTATTGCTCTGTCACCTAATCCTATTTGTATGCATCTGTAGTATAAGTGGGTTCTCTTCCAATCTAAAGAGTCCTCCTATGTATTTTAAACACAAAGTGAGTCCTCTAGGGCTTATATATCTATATATTTAATAGCACATTTTGAAAAAAATGGTTTAACAGAGCCTTATCACAAAGGGATTTATAATCTAAGAATAGACACAAAGTAGAAGAGAATGGAAATGGCTGCAGAATTAAGCAATAAAATAATATTTCAGATTCGAAGCAGAAAACATTTAAAGCAAGAGTACAAGCAAATATTATATTCAGGTGCAGAGGTTTTTTTTCTCCATGATAAGTAAAGTGGCTGTCCATATCCTGTCAGGGGTTTTTTTTTTTTGAGTCAACTTGAGTTGAATCATCTGTCTCTCTGAAGCAGTGAGACAGTGAATGATGGTTCCCATTAATTGTTTAGTCCACAAACTTCCCATTCTACTAATGAAACATTATGTTTCAATGGTGATACACCTATGGGAGGAGTGGGAACTGAAACAGATATGGCCAATGAAGCCTTTTTCCTGGCCTTCCCCATCCCTCCTGATCACATTTCCACTTAGCAATTAGATTCAAATAATGTGAGTGAGTGAATGAGGGATATTTTATGTCTAATTGCTGTGTGTGGTAGGGAGGGAGAGGGAATGATACGAAAAAGATTTAATGAATAAAAATCTTATTGACTTGGGCTTGAAAAGCATTTTGCAACACAAGTTTCAAGTAATGTTAGGAGCTATCTCTTTAGAAGAGCCAGCTTGTATTTCAGAGAGCAAACTTCTTAACATAGTTGCTAGCTCAGCTGCTGTATACAGTCACAATTGCTATCATCCAGCTGTCTCTTATGTCAATGTTGCTCAAAATATAATGGGTCACCCGTTATCTGGGCATGACAGGCGGAAGAAAAAATTATAAATAACAAGTAATAATTTGTGAAGGGCTTATTAGACAGGATATTTGGAAGCGTTTTGAAGCAAGAAGAGATCAATGTAGAATCTGATTGATAGGAAAATAGCAAAATTAAAACAACTGTGAAGGAACAAAATGTAGTTGCATTTCTTTTGTTTAGTGGGATTACCATCAGTGCTAGGATATATAAAAAATTCCCCAAACACTTAATAGAACTAAAGCACAGTTGGAGATGCCACCCTAGTTCCAGACCCTTGAAAAGAAGTGGGGAACATTACTGGGCATCATCTTTAAAATACAGCATTTTCTTCTAAAAAGGTATACCACTTGGATTTCTCAGTCTTTAAAATATATTACAATAATACATTTTATATATTGCATGTGTACAAATTTCGGAACATCCTGTCTCCAAAAGTGTTCAGGAAGCATCTTTTAATCTTCTACTTTCTCAAAGAATCCTAACAATCCTTAGGTATTATAAAGTACAACTTCGGTATGCAACAATGTGCTTTTGTTGTCTCTCAACTATCTTCCTGTCTTCAGGCCCAGTAGAACATTTGAAGTTATGTGTGTATTTTCTGGCAGGGGCGGAAAGGATAATGTTTATTGTGTACTGAACACTTTAATTAGCGTATATGTACAGGCATACCTCATTTTATTCCCCTTCACAGATATTGCATTTTTTTTTACAAATTGAAGGTTTGTGGCAACCCTGTGTCAAGCAAGTCTGTTGGTACCATTTTTCCAACAGATTAGCATTTTTAGCAATAAAGTATTTTTTTAAATTAAGGTATGTACATTGTTTTTTTAAAGATATAATGCTATTACACACTTAATAGACTACAGTATAGCGTAAACATAACTTTTATATGCACTGGGAAACCAAAAAATTTATCTGACTCACTTTATTGCGATATGTACTTTATTGTGGTGGTTTGGAACTGAACCTGTAATATCTCCAAGGTATGCCTGTATATGGATGCTTTCCCAGATCATATATTTGCATGGTAAATAATTATTTGGAAAATGTGTATAGGAAAATAAGCCACAAAAATAACATGTTTAAACAGAAGCTTAGAGCAAATCAAAAGGATCTACAAGTCAGAGCAAGCCATTATTACAGATAATTCACAATGCAGAGCAAAGTATTAAAAAGTCAGTTCTTCTTTCATTTTTATTAAATAGCCAAAGGCTACATCTGTTTAGTTTCAAACATTTAATATTCAATTACCTTCTATCGTAAAGTGGCATGAAATTTGGAGGTGCAAATATAGCAAATTTGACTATAATTTAAATACAATTATTTCTCCAATGTAGGGATGATTGTAGAAAGATAACTTAGGTGCTTGTTGCCTGTTGTCCAGGTACCAGCTTTTGCTGAGCAAATTCAAGGCACCTGGACAGGAGTGAGCAGGTTGTATACGTACAAAAATAATGGGGAATTAATATATTGTGCTCGTTCAAAGAGCTTAATTTCAGATAATCTAACAACTAAAAAGAATATTTGTACTCAAAATATACATGAACAAATTGAAATTAGATACATGCACACACACTACTGATTATTGATCATAGATATTTTCTGTTTTATTTTATTAATTAGTACTAAATATAGTCTTTGTTATTGCATGCACATGCAGAAAATTTTCATGTAATCCATTGCATATGAAATGGACACCAGTGTAAAGCAGCCAGATATTCTTTCTTCTAAAATTGCCATGAACTCATCTTGCAGTTATCCCATTGAGCTGAGCTCCAGTCAGCTCAGTAGGATAATAGTAGGCAAACAAGAGTGATCTAATTGTCTTGGCTTACTTAGAAGAAATATATTATAATATATAATATTAATATAATGCAGCACATAATTGCTTTTAAATTTGTTTGATTTCCATAGTCTGTCACCAAAGAATTATATTTCACCCTGAGATCTTCACTAGATCCTGACACCTGCTGCTGATCTCTTTCCATCAGAGGGAAAATAAGGGTGGGCCTTGGAATGCTGTCTCTGGCTATTTCTGGCCTATCTTATTCTATCTTTCTTATTTTCAGAACAAACAAATCATAACTCAAAGAACTACTTTGGATCTTTGTGCCTCTCTCACTACATTCTTTGCAACTATCTTTTCCTCAATATATAATAGATTGCTCTCATCCTCATTTATTGTAGCACTGTTGTCTTATATGCATTTTCCTCTCATCTATAGCTTCATCACATCATCATTCTACCAAGCATCCTTTTTTATACTTGCCATTAGTATAACTGTAATTCTTTTTACTCTGTTCTAAGCAACTTCCACATTCCCTTTCCTTATGACCATTTTCTATTCATTCTATTGGCAGATTAATTATCTTCTAATACTTCTTCAGTGTTGAAGGCTAGTTGCTGAATGTGATAAAAGCAGTACATATACAGCTTGTGTGAGAATAAATTGAATGCTTAATGAATGCTTCTGAGTAAGCAAGGAGTAAGGCAAGAGTATTTGATATTTCCTTGATTGTTTTATATTTCTGGATAAATACATAAAGAATGTTTGTGGTAATGGTAGAAGCATGATGGTTGGGGATATAAATGTTTACTTTTAAACACAGATGATACTATGTGGTTGCCTGGAAACCCAAATGATTTGCAGTAGATATTAGATAGATTATATCATGCAATAAGGGGAATGGATCTGAAAATTAAATGTAACAAAGACTGTAATTTATATTGGCCAGGAAAAATGAAGCAAACAATTGTAAATTATATATAAATGACCAAAACAAAACAAAAAAACCAAAAAAACCCAACCCAGAACAAGCTGTTGAATTTGTGTATCTCAGTAGAATATTTAGTAAACATGGGGAAATAGATGGAGAAATTTTAAAATGTGTAAATGCTGATAGTGAATAATATGTGGTCTGTTGCAAGAAATAAATGTTAAATGAAAGAAGCTACAATGACAGTGTGTAAGAGTGTGCTTCTGCCCATTTTGTTACAAATAGAGATGTAAAGGGTTACATCCATAGGAGTAAAGATGCTTCAGACCCTACAAGGGCATCCTTGCTGTAGGTGTTGGTGGCTCCTTAAGGAATTACATCTTTTCTTGAATTTGTATGGTAGTTGCACAGGGTCAAGAAAAATGCTTATCTGAGTTCTGGAGATTTTCAGAGTTCCTGTACTCATATGGCTACCATGTAAGCCTAGAAAAAGAGCTGCCAATAGTTACCTTTTGCTGCTTTGGATCTAAAATCTGCGCACTTCTGCAGTTGTGAGAGTTTGCTACATCCAGATTAACATAAATGTAAGTTGGATAGGGTAGAATGGGTTACTTAAGAAATGTGTGTGGTAGAACATGAAGACGTAGGGTCAAGAATGAATGGGCGCTGAATGAATGTGAATTGAATACAACTGAGTGACCAGGACAAAATAAGTATGTTGATGTAGTTTGGTCTTATAAAGACTATGAGTGAAAATCTAATTGCAAAACAAATACATAGAGGAAGAGTGAATAGAGGAGAGGAAGGAGAAGACCAAGGAAGTTGTGGTTGGCTGGGGTTGTGAAGATACTGAAAAAGAGAGAGGTAAGAAGAACAATATATGTAGCTGTGCGGATAAGGTAGAAGCAAAGATAGCTAGTAAGAATAGAAAGGTATGGAGAGGTATAGGAAACAATATATGTCTAAAGTATATTTAGCTATATTTCCTTTGCTTTTTCTTGTTTAATGCCTTTAATTTCATTGCTTGCTATTTCTTACTCCTTTTCTATGCTTTGCATAGTGTGTGGCTTATCTTGAAAGAAAATAGCTTCCTGCATATCTATGGATACACACAAATCACTGGAGAAGTATTTCTCTCTTACAGTAAGGTGATGGCGAGGGAGTCAATATGAGATGAGCAGAGGCAAAGAGAAAAGATTACCATTACTGCTGATGTAAAGCCATGCCTACCAAAGTCTCACTGAATTAAGCTTAGTAGTAATACATCTATGCTTTGAGAGACTGACAGTTCTATTTTGGGTCTTCATACTTAAATGGATTATCCCGATTCAGTTAATAGAGTGTCATCCAGAGGCTCCATAAAAATGTGGTCATTAGCCACATGCATTATACATTTAAAGTTCTTCTGGACACAGCCAGAGATAGGTAGAGGGCAGCTTTCAATTTAATATAGATATCTGGATGATTTGTAGGTGATTTCTCTTTCTCTTCATAATAATAATAGCAGCATAAGACATAGTGGATTCTTGTGCAGAAGTGCTTGGAGCTCTTTTCAGTCTTGGCACCTGAAACAAATTATTTCATGCAAGACTCATGCAATCTCCTGGTTGGAGGTTCTCAAGATCTTGTAAAAAATAAAACAAAGCAAAAAGAACAGTACATTCCACAAAGCTGAAGTCTGCTTATCACTGCCGGTGTCTATGAGACTCGCACGTAGCATTTCATAATGATTGTGTGAACTGGGGAAAAGAAAACATCAAGACCTTTTAACCAGCCAAATCTATTTCTTATGAATATCCAGCATATTATATTAGATACAGGTATCTGTTATTCTAAAGTATCTGAAATTATTATTATTATTATTATTATTATTATTATTATTATTGCAATAACAACAGTGGATCTTTAATGAGCATTTGGGAGATTCCATTGTAAAGCACTAATTCCATTCCATACTCCTTAGCTTTTGTTGTTCTGTTCTTCCTCTTTGTGGACTTCATTGGCTCTGCCTTTCTTCACTCCCTCTCTCCTGTACAATGATGGTTGTAATGTCACCCCCACCCCCACCCCCGCTTTTCCCAGTACAACCTTATTAGCTATTTTGGAAGAAGAGGCCTTTGAGGGCTGTTGGTGTCTCCATGGCAGCAGTCCAATAATATACCAGATGACAAATTAGGTGGGCGAACAGTTGAAGTGGATTAAGTGCCTGCCTTTGTATAACCCACTGTGATCTTGTTTCATCCCATCAAAGTGAAACCAAGCGTGCAGCAGTAAAAAGTGTGTATATTTTAGTCCTCCTGTTACTAGATTATTGAGCTGTTTAAACTAAACAAACATTTCCATGCTTGTAGGATTTTACATTTGGGACTTATTAGCTTTCTGCCACACAGAAACTCCTGAGCTTAGAGTTCATACGGCTTTCAGAAGTGATTTGGCTACAATTCTCACTTGCCTTTCTGTTTTGGCTTGTATTCCAATCTACTGTTCCTTTTATAAATCTCTGCCTATGGCCAATTAGTTTGGGGACCAGCCCACTAGATTTTGCTATTCCAAGCAGCTGCAAAAACATAATGCTGTGTCATAATGCAAAATATACTAGGCTGCAGTTTTGGAGTCCCATCCAGCTACTTCACTGGTATCTCTTAAAACTTGTGCTTGTTAGGTGAGTCAAAATTGGAATATCTGTTACAGTGATCTGTCTATGAGGGATTTGCTATACTCACAGTCCTAAAATCAAGGCAATGGGTTTGCATTTGTTACATGAGAAAATGGTCTTCAAAAGGTTTTCAAAAGCTGGAGATTTTGAAGGAAGTGGACGTTTTTGAGATTATGCAGCTGCATCAGTCTTGGAGGACCCATAGCTCAGTCCAGGATATCTGGCTTTGTATGCAAAAAGTCCCAATTTCAATCCCTGGGATCTCCAACTAAGATTAGGAAAGAATCTTGCCTGAAAACTTGAAGGCAAGAAATAGATTTCCTTTTGACCTCAAGAAAACTAACAGCTAAACTTGGAAAGAAGAGCTATTAAAGAGGAAATGGTTGAAAGATTTTTTGCAATTTTCTTGGAGAAGCATCTCTGGATAGAGACAAGAAGGAATCTTGTCATCTGATTATTTAGTTTTAATTAACATAAAGCACTTGTAAGCTTTAGTTAGCAATAAATACAAAATAGATTTTGTATGTATATATTGTTTGTGTTATATAGTTTTGTTTTTTTTCACTTTGATTTATTGTGTGTATGCTACTCTGGTTGGCATACAACATAGAGTCACACAGTCTCAGTTGGGCGGCCCTATAAATCCTGAAATAAATACATAAATAAATATAAAATCTTTAATTCTGAGTATGATCGCCCTAGCCTGCTCTTAGCTAGAAGGTGGAATGCCATTCCATCAACATATTCTCCCAGAATTTCCTGTTCCTATTCTAAATCTTGAAGCTGTCCAGTGGCTCATTACTTGTATTACATTGGTCTTCATGAAATCCTAAGCCTAAATTACTTTCTTATGGCTAAGGATATAATCTGAACCAGGAGCAGCTGCCATTTTCAATTAGTATCCAAAGAACTTTAGCATCCAACAATTAACCTTGGTTTCAAATTCTGGTGCTAATAGGAAATGGTGTTTCAGTGATAGGCTTAATTATAGAAAAGTCACTGAACCTTATTAAGAAGCCATGTATTACCATAAGGTAACGGCATCCATGTTGCCATTACTCAGTCTGAGCAGCTATTTTATTTTATTTTATTTTATTTTATTTTAAATATTGATAGCCTACCCAGTATTCAGGGGATCTTGCAGAGTGTTGCCATCTATGAGGTAGCTTTAGCTATGTGAACACATTTAAATTTAAACCCTGGAAAGCAACTGCCGGTCAGTGTTGGCAATTTCTATATTCTTGTGTTCTTTTTCCACATCAGCTTGTCTTTTGACTTTTTGGTTTCTTTCTGTTATCACTACCATTTTGAACTGGCCTTCACAGCATTGTTCTCTTCAATTATTCTATATAGCATTTGTGCCATCTGTTAAATTACAGTTATTAAAACTGGCCAAGTTTTCCCCATTTAAACATCCTATGATTGGGAAGCTAAACACCAAAAGAGAATGCACAGCCCCAGAAAGGAAGCTTAAAATGAATCAAATTTGAAAGCCAATTCATGTACAATTCTCTCTTTTAGGGTGATGGCTGGCTGATTGCTTTCAGTTAGTGGCATCTTTCTCAAATCTTGTGAATATATTGTGAAGGAGACATATATTTCTCCTTCAGGCTAACAATGAGGTAATCCCTCTCTGCTAAAATGTAATCTCTCCCAGCTAAGAATGATACAGGGCTGTGGCTGTGATAGGGAACAAAGAAAAATCCCAATAGTCAAGGATGCAGATTTGACCTGCCAGCTCTAGGATGTTAAGTGTTTTCTATATCTCTTTACTGTCATCCAATGGATCTTTTACCTCTGGGGAGATTGCCTCTCTGGGGGATTTGATGCAGATATAGGATTTATATTTCTGTTGGAGTTAAAGCTGTGCTTCCATCTCAACTTAACTTAAATATTATAGAATGCTAATGAAATCATATTATAGAATGCTAATCAGCTCTGGTGATCACTTTCTAAAAGTAGCCAAACCCAAATAAGCACTGCAGCCTTGGAAATTTGTATTGTCTGGAGAAGTAGAGCATAGGTAAAAACCTGAACCAAGGTTGGGGAAGCTCAATTTGAATTAAGATGTACAAGATCCTCACATCTTATTACACAAGTAATATTTAACATATTCAACTACAACTGAAACTTTCACAACATACACAGAATAGTATGTGTACACCATGCAACCAACATCATTGAGAATAATCCTCTATTATAAAGCTGTCTAGTTCTAAGTTAAACTTACTTAGAACTAGATGGAGATAGAGTCATAATGTGAGACAATAGAAACATATTTACATAACATGCTACACCAAGTCTAGCATTTCCCAAAAGTAAGCCACTGATTCAACAAAAGGTAACAATGGCAAATCACAGCCAATAATGGCTTCTTAGATACCTACCATTTGGGCTATTATTTTAGCCACACACCAGAGGACACATCTTGGTTATTTCACATTTCTGTTAAAAACAAAATTAAAATAAATGGGATTGGAGGCACTGCAAACAAGTTGAAAAAAATTCAAACTTTTCTTGTATCTTTTATGTGTATCCCTCTTGTTTCTGCATCCCTGAGAGCAAAATGGAGCACAAATTGCCCTATTTTGTAGCTGCTCCAGCCTCTTGTTTGTTGGGAAGTCAAAAGGAGGAATTAACCATTGATTAACATCTGTCTGGACTGCATGACACATAAGACTGGTTTAGGTAAGTAAACTGATGACCAGGGATAGAAGTTGTGGCTAAAATGTTCCTCCATGCTCTGGAGGTCACACTAGGCCTAGCCACAAGCTGAGTTAGGCTATCAAGTGAACAGCCCAGGGTTCTTGTAGTTGTCTACTGGCAGACTGATAACAGATTGAGTAGACACACAAAATTATGGAGACTACTTTCCATGTGTGATTGCACTAGTTTCCCAAAATGGAATTATTGTTCAGGTGCCCCATAATATAATAACAGTATTGTAACAGTAATACTAATAGTACTACACAATATTTACAATTCTTAGAAAATGAACATAAATTGCATCTTTCATAATTTTGGGAGAAGTGGGAGATATTAGAAAGGTCTTGTCCCTGAATTGAGCACCCAAACACAGAGTGATGGAGAGCTGACGTGTGACTAGTTGGGAGTTGGCTGTTGCTCCCAAGTAGAGAAACAAATTTAATCTAACAGCCCAGCTGTGCTTTGGTGGAAATCAGAAGTATCTAAGATAAAAACCTTTGCCTGGGCTCATATTCTTGAATGATATCTGTGACAGTTCAGCTGTACATATTCTGCCTTGAACCTCATCCTTCCTCTGACAATGTGTATATTTTGAGCCCTGCCAGACCCATGCTAAATACCTTGCAACTCTGAAACTTGCTAGAGATACCAAAACATTTTGCTTCAACTCTCAATGGACCTTGGCTACATCTTTGCTTTATAAGCTTCCTGTTCTAATTACTTAATTTTGGACTAAGCTTCACATTTTACCTTGCTGTGTGAATCTCTACAGGACACCCATGCTGGCTGTTCCTAGAGTTGACACCCTGATGGGATATAATCTCTGTGTAGAATGGAATACATTTTACATCTTCCCCACTATGGTTAGGTAGAATGTATTTGAACTTAAATTACAGTAATTGTTTCTATATTTATATACAGTACACATATAAGAGACCCAGCTTGGTGTAGTGGTTAAGGCTAGAAACCAAAAGACCATGAGTTCTAGTCCCGCCTTAGGCATGAAGCCAATTGGGTGACCTTGGGCCAGTCATCTTCTCTCAGCCCTTGGAAGCAGGCAATAGCAAACCACTTCTGAAAATCTTGCCAAGAAAACTGCAGGTACTAGTCCAGGCAATCGAAGGCACAAAAAGAAAAAAGAAAAAGAGAAAAAAAATAACCACATATATACATAATTCTATGTATATTACCAAAAATTTGTGTTCTCTTATATTCCCCCTTTTTGGTGGAAAGCAAGAGGTCACCTTTCTTTGAAAAATCCAGAAAAAAACATTTGATGGATGTATTGTCCTTTTCTTGAACTCAGTTCTGGGTGGCTTTTCTGTTTATCACAGTAAATCCAAAGCTGTACTTCCTTTTAGCTTGGTCAAAAAACACACTAACAGTAACTCAGTTGTTAACTCCAGGCAACAAACTATGTATCTATAGTCATGATGTCTGCCTTCTGTTGTTTGTTTGGCTGGCAGTGAAATTTCTTTTCCTCTTGTAATGGATAATATGAAAGCAACAATCCTCACATAACTTGTACCATGATTTTCTTGCTTCCAGTATCTAAACTACTTAATAAAGAGCAATGGAGGGGAAAGGAAAGGGACAGATCTTAAAAAATAGAAGAGTGGGGGTTATATGCTTTTTAAAAATACAGTGTGCAAATATGCTAATGATACTAATTATATAAAAAAAGGTTTTTACACAAGGTAAGTCATATTTCATTCATGTATGGAATTAAAGAGTTTAGTTTATAAGAAATATAGTCACGGGCCCTACAATATGCTATAATAACAAATGTACAGTCTATGACCATAATACTTCATTTATGTCATTTCAGTTCCTAATCAATTCAAATATTCAACTTCCAAAATAACTGTCAATGAATTGGTACATTTGATCCATAGCAACATAGGTTTTATGTGACATTCTTCCCATTATGGAGTTGCAAAATGTGTGACCATTGATCCTAAATTTGCCAATATATTCTACACACACACACACACACCCTGATTAAATCATCATAATTTCTGAGTAACAATCAGATCAGGTAGCAAGTAATGAGAAAGACCTCTGCCCAAGATCCTGGACAGCTGATACCAGCCAGAACTATCAATGTTGGATTAATTAGATAAGCACTCTAGCTAGTATAAAACATTTTCTATGTTCAGATGTTTCCCTTATTAATGATTTTTTTCTGCCAGTTCTGACTGATACATTTTCAAAATAAGGGAAAGGTGTGGAACTGGAAACTCAAATGGCATATCTAAAGAAGGATTTGCAGCAAAGCACTCAGTTCTTCTTCCAATCTCGTCTTAAAGGTGAGATCCAGAGCCTAGAGCTAACTCAGAATCTGTGACAGGCCCCGTTTTGAAATGGTTTAATATATAGCTATCTTTGTATATTTGAGGGGGGAACCTGCTTGAGTAAAATAGTTTATCAAAGAACAGACACAGGTCTTTTGCCTCAGGAATTTATTATTTTTATGTTTTGATCATTTGTGTAATTTCTAATGTCTTTTTAAATGCTCTATAAATGTTGACTTATTTTATAATAAAAAGCTTTACAGCAGAAAAGCAGCATAATGTGCTTAAATAAGTAACTTCATTAATTAATAAGCTTGTACTCCTGGGTTTTTCCAATCTATATTTATTATGACATTTGTGTACCTGATAGCTACCTATTGGAGGAGTGACCCTGCTATAAAAGCAATAAAAAACTAACTGGACAATTAACCTAGCAAAATAGAGGAAGTTTTCTTAAGAATACACACACACATACGCACACACACCACCTTGAAAGCATTTATGAATAAAGTTTTTAGAAGAGTTCACACAATGAACAGTATCTGATATACATTTCAGTAAATTTTTACACCCTGAAATTTTAGATCATTTTAATGCTGGCTGGGGAATTCTGGGAGTTGAATTCTACAGACCTTCAAGTTGTTACAGTTGAAAAGCATTCTTTTATAGTATGATCTTATACATGACATGTCTACTCAAGAAATAAGTCCTACTGAGTTCAGTGGGGCTTACTACTAAATAAAAGGGTACATGATTTATTTATTTTATCAAATTTATATGCCACCCATCTCACTGTATAAGCAGCCAAAGTCATAAACAATGCCCAGGAATTCATACATTCTACTATACCACCATTGGTCTAATTCACAGGATACAAAGGGTGATTTTTGGTTTAAGATCAAAACAGAAAGGATGAAAGAAATTCAGCGTACCACTGAATTCATGTTCAGCCTAAACTAATGTGGTACCTGAGAAGCTGTAATTGTTGGGCTGTGCAAAGCATTTGAAAGAGGTATTTTGCATAGAGCTTGAGTATGAACTAAGGGCATTTCTTTCTGAAGTATTGAAGCAGGTGTGTCCTTTGCAAAACTCACAGGGCTCCCCATGAGCTATCAGACTTCACACGCTAGCTCAGCAGTAAATCCTAGCCTTCCAGACACACAACTCCTTATTCAGCAATTGCCTTGACTAGGCAGAAGATTCTCTGACACAACTGGGCTAGATCAGAATCTCTACTGCAGACAAGACTGAAGCCTTAAACACTACAGTTGATTGCCCACTCCAGTGCAAAGAAATCCAAACCTTTGGGTATATCTATGCTTCAGAGTTTGAGCTCTAGTTTTCTTCTTCATCCTTCCAAGTTAACAGATCCTTGACTGATCTTTTGATGGCCTTAGAGGCAGCTGAGAGAGTTTCCACTATGGTTCTCTCTAGTCAGGAATCTGACTGTTCTCAGACCTTTTACCGCCTTTTCTATTTTCTTCCTTTCCCTCTCCCTCCGAGTCTAGAAATGCCAGATACTTCTCCACCTCTTTTTTCTGCTGACAGTTGGAGGTTGTTATGCCTCTCCTCCCATCTCCATTTCTTTGGCTGGAGCTGGTGAGGTTTCCCCCCTTTCAGTATCTCTCCTCTTCCCTCCTCCTAACACAGGCCAATAGGATGGAGTTTTACATCAGGTTCTCCCTCCATTCTAGAGCTTTCTCATGTTTGGTTGGGCAATCTCTGTTTCTCCCGTTAGTGGTTCAATCATCATCCATCCTCTTTACCTCAAAGTCAAAACTGCTGGTACATGCAATTACACAGTTGGTCAGAAAGCCTGGGTTTTGTGAGCACATTGCTGTCAAAAGACATGTGGGTTAATGTCCGAAGCTAGAAGAAGGGTTTGATGTTAACGTTATGGATAATATATTGTTACAGTATTTGTGACATCGGATTGGTATTGCATTATTGTTGCTCTTATGTACACAGTTTAGTGTCTTTAGATTAAAGCATTATATAGCTTTTTAAAATAAATAAAAATCTACCACCAGAATGGCATTCAGCCCCCTGTAATAGGTCACTTCTAAAATACCAAGGCCCCTGTGGGGATAGGAGGGGATGGAACTGTTCAGATAATTTGTTGGTCAGAAGTTTGACATGGCAGTAAGTGTGGCATGAAGAAATATAGGCCCTGGCATCTTTTCTAATATTAGACCACCTGAAGTCAGAAAGAAGGAGATGGATCATTTTAAATACTCCAGGTACCTAGCTGGCTGGCTATTGTGACAAAGCTGCAACAGCTCTACCTCAAGGAAAGAGAGAGATATAATTTGTTGTAGTGGTGCAGTTCTCCCTATATTAGGAGAATGAGGAGGGAGAAGACACGTCCCCCACCCTGAAGTCCATCCATCCAAGCCTGCATATACAGCATAGGTCCTGGATTTACTGAGTATGGATTTGATCAATTAAAAAAGGAGTTTCCTTCCAGCCTCAAGAGCTTCACAAGGCAAACCAAGTATCCGGGGGGTGGGGGGAGTGACATTTTTCAAAGTGTAGAATGAAGTTTGGAGGACAGTCATAGAGTAGGAAATATTTGGGTTTATGCAGTAAAATATTGGCCTGCTTGTTTTGCAAGCCAGAAATATAAGAGATATAAATATTAAAATGAGAAAAAATACCCATCTAACTTAGTGCCATGTGGGCTGCCAAAGGTTTGTAAGTTTTCAATCTTCCTTTGATCAGTCTGGACCTCTATAGGCTATTCCATGCCATTGAGGAGGCAGTGACAGTGCTGAAAAGTTTCTTTAAGAGCTAAAATTGCCTTGTTAAAAACAATTATTTGGGTGCTCAGAAGTAATGTGCAATAGAAGTTGTCCTTAAGCTCTGGAGCAGATGGTAGCAGTACAGTTCCTAAGGGAAAATAACTGCATTTGCCAGTACAACAAAGTGGTAGGTGGGATCTAAATGATGGAAACTGGTCTGAGAGGTGAATGCCTGTCTGAAGGAAGGCTTCTTGGGTATCAAAACTCATTTTAAAAAAAAAAATCTCTTCTTGGCAAGATGTATCAACAGTATGATCAATGCAGTGAAATTAGAAATAAATGTACAGTAAAATGAACAAAGCCTCTAAAATGTTGTACATTCCAGTAAGTGGAGCAAGGTACTCTCAAGAATGGATTCTGCCTTAACTAGACTCATCTGAATTCATTTCAAAAAAATATTGTAGCCCCAACTGTTCATTATACATAGGCCAAGTGTGCATTTTTGTAGCTTAAAAGCTCTAGTAATGAGGTTGTTGAAGAACTGCTTAAATTTGGATTTTGTAGAAGCCAGGATCCATAGAATAAATCAGTAAATTATCTAGATACACAATCAGAAAGCTCATTCAAAAATCATGGAAAAAAATTCAGAGCTATTATCAGCCTCAAGATCATTACTGTACTGTATACCCAAACTTCAGGTAATGAGAATCAAAGGCAACTAAATATTCATGACCTTCTTTCATGCAAATCGGACTGTCTGAGGACCTATTTGGAAAAAAATACGTGCTTTTTGTAGCCATTCCAGGAATTCCAAAATGAGATTAATAGGGTAGTTATCCCAGTTCAGGAGCTGGTAATGATGAGGTACACATAGGGAGGCATCCTTCTGTTAAACAAATGAACAAAAAGTGGGAGCACTAGTGGGAGAAAAGGAAAGGCAGGTAAAGTTTTTCTGTAAAGTTCTAATTGAGAAATCCTTTTAGGCAAGCCAATTATGTATTTGACATCAGTAGAGACCTTTTGTTGGAATCTGAGCTCCAGGAATAACATTATGCAATCAGAAAACTGATGGAGAGCAAGCTAAGTGCTTTGCATTCCCCTTTTCAAATACATCAGCATAAGGAGACTGCTGTTCAGAAGGTTCCATTCTCAGCAATACTCGCAGAGTCTTGAGGGACTGACACAGAGACAACTGGTTGTGTTAGATTCTGTCCCACCTACTGAGTTAACTGGTCCATCTGTGTTGCCACATGGTTGGAATGCTGGAGTAACATACTGGCAACTTATCTAGGGTTGTTAGGGGTCTCTAGCCATAGTTTAATATTTGATCTCTAGACAAAGACTCTCATCCCCTAGCAATGGGAGTTGGAGTTGGCAAACAAGTCCACAACTTTCTCTAGTTCCCTGCATAAGCATGTAATGTGCAAGATTTCTTATGTGGCTGACAGTGAAGCAACGTTTCTGTGCATGTACATACATGCATAGACACTGGTGGAAGCATCTGAAGCAGCCATACAGTTCTTGCAAAGAACACAGCTGCTTTAACACCACAGAGAGCTTCTTCATTTGTACTAATGCACTTTGCAAAGCACCTCTTTCAGATGTTTTGCATACCTTTATTCAGCTCTGATGAACCCACAGCCAAGTCTTGGGAGAATCTGTACAGAAAAGAAGCAGTACTATCTCCCAGGCTCAAGGTCATCGGTGTAGATAGCTATCAGCCTAGAGGAACCAATCAACTGACTGCCCATCTTAACTTAGGCTCCTTTGTCTCCAGTGCCAGAATAGTAAAAAATGCTTCAAGTACAGGTTACACACAGAACCACTTCCCATCAAGAAGATACAGAGCTTGAATCTACCACCAGTCTGAAGTTTCAGCTCAATACAGCACCCTGCCTGGTATCAAGATTTTTATCTGAAATATTCTGAGGATCTGCAATTGTTTTCAGTTTTTAGGTGCCCCAATACCTGTTCCCTTGATCTTTACAAGTATTTCTTCTGCCTGCTCGCCTCTGTCTATCAGTTCAACTCCACTTATCCCCAGAACAATTTGCCTCACCTTTGCAGACAAAAATGGAACCATGATTTTAAGTATGCAAATGTTAGAATAGTAGTGTTCCTTCTGTTCCATTTCTGATTTCACTTGTGTTCCAAAATCTTAATTTTCAGCAATTTATAGGAAAACTCTGAAATTATTTGGAGAAGAGTCCACTGGAGTTGGACAGCCAATAAATTTAAATAAATAGATAAGTAAACAAACAAACAAACAAATAAATATGTGGCATCCATGAAACCAACCAGCTTTCCAAAAGTGGCTAGGGAATTATATGGTTGAGCCTGTTGATTATATAGAAAATAGGACAATATTTTACACTTCCAACTTAAAAATATAACTGTAAATTTACAAAGACTAATAGGATGGGCATTTCTGGATTATGATATATGGCATCACAATATAGCTTGATTCACATAACATGTGCAATCAGTCTATAAGTTTCTGGATGAAGACTGTGCCGACTGAGTGTTCAACCAATATATCAATATTAAACTAATGCCATATAAATGTTAAATATTTAAGTAATTACACCATTCTTGCTGCTCTAAGCCAAAAAGACCCTCAGAGCAACCTATGCTTGATCAATAAAAAGACTGTCTCTGCCTGCAAAACTATTGAAGTAATTTCACCCTCCAACATAACATTCTTGTGAAGTTTCTAGGTTTCAACTGCTGATGTGATTTGGAGAGAGAGGCTCCAGAATAGATTATACTGAATACAGTAAAGCAAACTGTTAGGTGCTGAATATTAACAGCATCGTTCTAATAATGACTTGTAATTATTTAAGACCTTTGCTATGCAATATCTTATATTCCTTTAGTATAAAGGGAGATGTAAAGAAATTTCTTTCTCCATCCCTTTTACAAATTGGAAATTGAGCTGGCTACCAGAGACTGCCTTAATTTGGTGGCTTTCAGGTGCTGGACTAGAACTTCCAGTACCCACTGCTAGCTGCACGCGTTATGGGCGTTGTAGTGCAACACAACCGGATGCACCAGTTCCAGGAATATTGAGCGGCTACATTATTTTCCGGGGATCCACGTTTTCTGCGTTCTAACTCTCGAGCGGACCGCGCAGACCCCTAACAGCGATTCCCACACGCGCTTTTTCGCCCCCTCCCTTCGGCAGTCCCCCCAGGTGGTCCCTATTCTCCCCTCGAGGTGGTCCCGCCTCTTTCTCTCGCAAGCCCACCTCTTCCTCTAATCTTCCCTTCACCTCAGAGACACAAACCCCCAATCAGGGAGGCCAGATGCCATCGCCACGGCAACTTCGCTGGACCAATCTTAAGTGATCCCGCCCGCACCTTCCATTCACCCAATTGAGAGGAGGCTTTTCAGAGCGCTGCCCAATGGGAAGCTGCGATTGTGCCCGTCCGGCGAGCAGGGAAAACCATTACCCAATCGCCACAGGACCTTTTGCTTTCCTTTGCCCAATGGAGAGCCACGCTGGTCTAGTTATTATGCCACAGGAGCCGAGTTAGGCCAAAGCCGGCGGCTGCCGCCTGCTCTGTGGGTATCGCCCGGGCGGCGGTTGCTGCCTTGGCCTTTGTCCCCATTAGGCTCTGCCTCCCTCCGCCTCCTTTCCTCTCCTCTGCTGTCTGCACAGGCCGGCGGATCCTCCGGCAGCTTCGAGCGCCTCACCGTGTGCCGCCTCCACTGCCTTGCGCTCGACCCGGGGTGCCTCCGGCAGCACCGTCCCCCCTCCCGGGGGTTTTGGTTCTGCCGGGGGAGGAGGGGGACTAACACCGCCGCGGCCGGACTCGTCTCCTGCCCCCCCCTCCCGACACTCCCCCAACACCATAGGCGGCTCAGGCACCAAGATGTCCAACCGAGTGCTCTGCCGGGAGGCCAGCCATGCCGGCAGCTGGTACACGGCCTCAGGTACGGGCTGGGTCACAAGCCTCCGTGGGTGGGGGTGTCTTCGAGGCCTCCTTGAGGAGCCAAGTTGAGGGAGCGGCGGGTCTGTTGGGGCGAGTTTTAGCACTCAGACTCTCCCTTTAGTTCAACTGAGAATTGCTCTGATGCTTTACGCCTGAAAAGCAGTCTGTAAATGTCAAATAAGTGGAATATTAATGCTCACGGTGAATGAGAATGAGGGTAAACTGTGCTCCGAGGCAGTTAATCCACGTTCATTCCCAAAGGGCAGTTGCACAAACAGAAATGCGGATCAGTACCTATTGTGGCGTAAGCTTTTGTGGTTCTGAATCCTCCATTAAATTGCAGCATTCCGAAAAAGTCGACTGTAGTCCACCAACGTTTCTGTCATAATAAGGCTGCAATCTTGGACACGTTTGCTCGGAAGGAAATCCCAGTGAATCCAGTAGGGCGCTGCCGATCGGTGCTTAAGGTGCCATGAAATTAACTTCGGTGTGTAATCGGCTTTAGGGAGTTTTGGGCATGGAGGGGTGAAGACGTGTTGCAAAATCGCCCGATATTACTCTGCCCGGAAGCCGGAGGCGCCTGTTGCTTCTGGGGTGGCAGCGATAATCGCGGGAGCCGGCGTGGCTTGTGCGGAAGAGGTTTCTCCCCCATGTGCGCTGGGGCTCGGTGGGCCTTTGACTTAATCAGCACTTTCCGCCGGGAATGCCGGGGCCCTCTTCTAGAACCCCCAGTTGCCCTTTCGCCGCCCCCCCCAAACAATGAGCTGCTGGGCCTGCCGAGGCTCGATTCCCTGAGAATCGACAGAGCCTGGAGGAAAAGATGTTCTCTAAGGCTGGCCCCGGAAATCTCCCCTGCTTCTTTTTATAATATTCTCCCGTTAGAGGAAGCGGACAGCGCCTTTCAGCGAAGGTGCCTATGACAAAGAACCAAAGAAGAATCCTCTGGTGGTTTCGTGTAGAGTCATGGAACCGACCAAGATCCGAAGTATGTGAATGAAAAGGGGTCATTTAGGGTAAAGCGGGGGAGGGGGCGAATTGCATTGTGGGAACGCAACAGTTGTAACTCGGGACCAAGCTAGTAGGCTTCTTGTCTAATCAGGCTGCTTCTTTACAGTCCAGTGGAACGATTTTGAAAAATACATTTTTAAAAATTGAAATCCCATGGAATTGAGGATATAGTGCATGCAGGATTTAATGTTTAAAAAGGTTATTTTTAAATCTTATGTGTATCCATATTTCAATTTTTGCATCATACAGGCAGTGAAATTGTAAAGAAGACAGTGCTTTTAGAGGTGCTTTTAGACGTCACTTGATTTCCAGTATCATGTAAAATAACCAGTTATCAATATTTTTCCTGCCCCCCCACCTTTGTTTCTTATAGTTTGTTGAAAAAATGTGAACGAGAGTGCCCTCTGGAGGATGAAAGGTTCACATTGTCTACAATAGGATTTCTTCCTGTATGTGCTCATTGAGTAACCAGATACAGTATTTCACTTGGCCAAGAAAAAAAAAGCTCTCTAGAGAAAGGCAAAGCAGTGAAAGCAACCCTTATTTAATTCATTTAGCTTGTGGATTTATATTCTCATCTGAAAAATGTGACAGAAGGAATGGCATCAAGTTTTGCAAGTGTATAAATAGTATACCTGGCTAGTTGCTATTTGCTTCCCTGCATATTTTATATGCAGTCAAGAAAGTTAAACTAAATGTTGCATGTTAGCAGTTACTATAGTTTAGTTTAAAGTGTGCTTTGCCTTTTTAGTTCTAAATTTTTGCAAAATAAAATACAATTTTATTGTCTAGGTATCTGGGAGAATGTGATTCTTAACTGTATACCGTATTACTTTTTTAGACAAATATGGTATTTGTTGTATGCACCAGAGAAAGCACGTGGGATTATGGTTTCAAATGTGCAAAAGATAGGCTTAAAATGCAGTCTCTTACTCACTTGAGAGTCCATTTAAACACAATAGGGCTTCCTGCTAAGCAAAGCTGAAGAGAAGTTGGCTGCCAAAACATACCTAACTATGCCTGGTACTGTGTATAGGTACTGTGCACTGGTATTGGTATGTCTGCAGTAATCTATCCTGTGATCAAAAAAGTGAGGGCTTCTCCAGTTATATAGGGAGCAGTAATTTTGACTAGTATTTTGCTGTCACTTCCTAGCTTTTCTTAACTTAAATAAAAAAAAAATCTGTGACTAATGAAAGCTCATTCATTTCAGCCCACTTTCACACATACTTTAATGTACTTACAGAGATGATTCAGCAGAAGCATCCCATATTTGCAAATACTCTAGCTTTCTACCTCTTCACAGGAGGCCAGAAAATAGGACTAATTTCAAGCTGTTGGATGATATGATGATCTAAGGATTATGGAGAAGGGTAAGCCAATCTCCCATCAGGCTACTAAGCTTTCAGACCCATATGGCATATTGAATCCACCACATGTGGATTCACCAACATTTAGCATGTCGTGCAAGCTCAGCATATCACTTGTTAGAATAAGTAAATTAGGTTATTGGAACAAAGAAGAAATGAAAAGAATGTTTTTATTGTTTGTGGCCTTAAATGGCTAGCTATGTTTGCTGCTGTTTATAGGGCATTGGTACTTTTTTATCCCTTTGAACTTCATCTAACAGTTTGCCAGTAGCCTTCTCTTGGCCTTCAATCCTGAATTGAAAAGTAGACTGCAGTTGAATGGAAGAATGCAGGTGGAAGGAGGAATCCCTTTCATTGGCAGGTTTAAGGGTTCTTCCTATTCATAGAGGAGAATCCTCACTGTCTTTGTCTTCTAGAGGAATTTTCAAAGGAAACTTTCCATCAAATCTACTTGGGAATCGAGAGAGAGAGCAGAAGATGATAACAAGCACTCTGTCTGCCACAGTATACAAAAGTGCTTCCTGGCTATTTTGCATAGGCTGCAGGAGATTGCAGCCACATAGCCAAGCTAACAGATTAGTGTAGGAGATGGGGGAAGAGCTTGATCAGGCCTCCAGAGTGGGCACAGCATGGAGGTGAGTGACAATGCTGGCTTTAAGTCTACGAACAACCCTGCAGGGCTGAAGGCCATTCCCATACCTCAGTAAACAAGGCCCTGGTCACGGCCAAGATGTGGCAAGCCTCTGAACATCCCGCCACATATTGACAAGGAGGAGCACTGAGAGGAAGAGCTTGATCAGCCAGTCAGAAGGCCGAGGCTGATTAAGAGGCAGTCATCACCAACAGGAGGCAGGCAAGATGGCAGGAGGAGGTAACAGTGGATGGCTCCTTGAACTCCCTCCTCCCTGACAGCTGGCAAGGCACTGGGCAATACCTGTGGCTCAGATGTTGGAAGATAGGCCACCAGTCAAAAGCCAAACTTGCAGCAAAGCCCTTCTTGGGGAAGAAGCTATTAGGAGTGGCAATCAGTTTAGATAAGACTGATTTTGTCTATAGCCCAATGGAAGGAAGAAAGCAAATACAAGAGAAGTTTTGCGTTTTCGTTTCATACCAGAGACCAAACTCCCTACTTTGTTTTGGGCAGAAGGCATTTGGGTGATGCCCCCTCTCAGATTCCCAGGCTCAACAACCAAAACACCCATCAGTTGCCAGGCCTAGCAGGGAAGAACCAAGGTAAACGTTCTTCAGCTTTGATGCCATTACTTTTTAGGTGGGCCTACAACTGCAGAAATTCAGTCATACCTACAACCACAGCTACCAAAATAGGTGGATGTTTGAGAGTACATATCCCAGAAGAGGTCTTCAGTATTTTTTCTATTCTCTTTACATTGCCAGAATACTGTCTTGAACCCTGGGCCTCAGAATAAATTTATTAGGCACTGAAGCTTTATAATGGAGTAATTAACTTTCTAACTTGGACAGATTTGTCAGAAACCTACTTACATATTCCAAGCAGAACCCCCCACTGAAGGTTCCTCAGGTTTGTATGCGAGAGCAATCCACTTCAGAGTGCTGTCTTTCAATCTGGCATTGTCATCGAGACTATTCATCAAAATGTGACAGTGGCTTCTGTGGGCCATTTAGGAACCCAACAGCTCCACATTTATGGTTACCTAGACAAGCTGCTCATCAAAGCGCCCTCTACGGCAAAAGCTTAGCCTGATGTTTCACTGTTTCTAGCCTTGTGTGAATTTAGCTAAGAGTATGCTGGCACCACCCAGGTTAGTTCTACATCTGCAGTTGCCATTGACATAGAAGGAAGGAAACTTCCTAACCCAGGGATACAATGTCAAGAAAGAGAACTTACTGTCTGGATGGCTGACCCTTATAAAACTGATAAGAGCATGATGATCACAGCATGGAACTCCAAGGATAAGCAAATAGCACCACTTTTAGGTCACATGTATTGAACCTCTAGGGGCATACTCCTGGC